CACACACACACACACGCAAAAACACCGTCACCAACACCTCTGTAAGCATGACTGCCACCACCATCAACAGGCACAGTGTATTGGATTGAGGAGATTTCTAGCTGATGTAGGTAGTACTGCCGCAGGTGCTCTGATTATGACTTCAATGTCTTGTTGGGTGTCGCCCATTTTTCTTGACTTGACGGGCCCATGTGTGTTCTCCCTAAACCCTAAACCCGAAACCCTAAGTGCCGCTGTCGCATTGCCCCCGGCGCTTCCCAGGCATCCAAACCACCCTTCTTCATATCACAGACAAGGGGTGGCAGAGTGCTCTAGCAACAGAACAATTGAAACAGAGCCCTAAACCCTAAACCCNNCCTAAAGCCCTAAAACCCTAGAAGCCCTAAAACCCTAAAACCCTAAACCCCAAACCCCTAAACCCTAAAACCCTAAAAGCCCTAAAACCCTAAACCCTAAACCCATGGATTTCGAACCCCAAGTCCTGAAGCCCTACGCCCAGTAAGGTGACAAGACCCAAAGGCTCCAAATAGACTCCCAATGTGGGTCCCGACAGACCAGCCTTATTATGGTTTTTGAGGGCCTGTGTGGGGTTTAGGGTTTAGGGTTTAGTTGAGGGGTTTATGTAATTCCATAATCGTAGTATATATGGAGCCTCGAGGAGAGTAGAAGAAGACTGAGGCCAAGCCGCATAGATCTCGAAAGGATACGGGACAGCACCCTGCTTGATACCGCGGATGCACACGCAGCCATGGTCGGTCTCGACCTTCCGCCAGAGGACGCAGGGATTCAGGACTTGAGTCTTAAGTCCCAGCACCAGGGTGCCCAGAGAGCCCAAATGTGTCACTAATATTCCTAAATGACTAAATGAGAAGTAATTGGAAGCCTTATACAATGCCTTAAATGTTCCTAAATGACTAAATGAAAAGTAATTGAAGCCTTCTACACTCGGAGCCAGATTTCCGAAATATAGGGGCATTGGGCTTAGTATCCCAAGACCCCTTGGGGCCTTTGGGATTCAGGGTCTACCGTTTTTCCTACCTGAAGGACCAAATGACCCTTAAAAGTAAGGGGCCCTATATCATGCCTATATCCACACACTATGAATCCCTATATGACATATGAACCTTAAACCCTTATAGGGTTCATCTCGTCCCTAAGGTATCCTCCAGCCTACTACTCCGGCAAAGGAGCATTCTCAAAGTCGCGAGTCGCTGAGTGAAGGCGCAAAACCCAGAGATGATACCCAGAGGGTTCAAAGATAATTATGGACTTATGTAAATTATGGCCGAATTAGCACAACACAAAACACATTCTTTGGGGGACCTAACGCCATAAGAGTAGCATTTTTCTGGACCTTCTGTTTAAGGACCTCGGAACCTCTTTCTCTGTCTTCGGACAGTAGGATCGGGGCTTGGGTCTTTGAAGTTTACGGCTTAACTTCGCGGTGTGTTGCGACCAGTGAAGACCTACACCTAGAATCCTAGAGCCTCTAGGCACGAAGCCTTTAATCCTAAACCCATAAACCCAAAAGCCTAAGCCCTAAACCCTAAACCCAAAAACCCTAAACCCCAAATCTAACACCCTAAACCCTAAACCCTAAACCCAAAACCCAACACCCTGAACCCAAAACCCTACTCCCTAAACCCTAAACCCAAAAAACCCTAAACCCAAAACCCTACTCCCTAAACCCTAAACCCAAAAAACCAAAAAAAAACCCAAAACCCTAAACCCAAAAACCCAAAACCCTAAACCCAACACCCTGAACCCTAAAAAACCCAAAACCCTAGACCCCGTCGCCTTGCCAGGTGGTAGGATGGAAGTCAGGGCCGCCAAAATCTCGAAGTCCTTTCTCTAGTCTAGGACATTTTCAAGTGGGTAATTTTAGGGTTTTAGAATAGGGTCCCCTTAAAAGGTACTATAGGGTTCTTTTGAGGGTTTAGGGTTTAGGGTTTAGGGTTCTGGGACATTTCAGGTGGGTAGTTACCGTGAGAGGAGCCTTATAGAAGGTCCATATACCTTATGGAAGCCTTCTAGAAGCCCTATATAGCCTAAACTCTGTAGTGTCCTTTCATCTAGGGTTCCTTTGAGGGAACTACAAAGGTTACGAATTACAAGGGGTCCTACAAAGGCAGTATAGGGCTTAGGGAGTTTAGGGTTTAGGGTCCAAAAAAGGGTTTGTAATTTGGGGGCACGCATACAAGTTGCCACAAGGGTTCTGTGAAGGTACTTAGGGTTCAAGCTTTAGGGTCTACACTGAAGGGGCTACTATAAGGGTTCCTTTGGGGCACTGTAGGGGTAGTTCTCTAAATGAGACTGCTTGAGGGTCTGTACTAAGCGTACATGGAAGCAGAGAGTCTCGTTCCAGATGACATCCGACGGAACAAAAGGCCGTTAACTTTGACCACCCAAGCCCTAAACCCTCAACCCCAAACCCGAGACGGCCCGAGACCGCAAAAAACCCTCAACCAAGCCCGAGACCTTTAAGCCACAAAAAACTTAAACCTGCAACCCGACGCCGCTAAACCCTTAAACCCTCAACCTCATACCCTAGATCCTAAACCGGGAACCTCCTTTCCTAGACCTCTAAACCCCCAACCTTATTCCCTACCTATAGTATTGTCTCCATTGTAGTTCTTTTTCTTGGCTACCTCAAAGAATCCGACTATAAACATGGTTAAAACCCTAAACTGCCCTAAACAAGGAACTACAATGGAGACTACAGGTGGGTAGTTGTCAAAATTATGGTCCCTTTTGGGGTACCCTAAATAATAGGTGCCGTATTATAATAAGGACCCCCCCAAAAGGGACCATACTTTTGACAACCACCCAGGTAGACCTCTCAAGCCTCAACTTTTCGAGACGTCGCCCCGGTCCTCAGCAGTCGGGGCTGCGTCCGTCTCCAAAAACTTGGGGCTCTCCGGGTTCTCCACATCCACGCCGTGTCTCACCTGGCAATGCATGAACATGACATGCATATACATATATGTATATGTACATGTATATGTATGTATGTATATATGTATATGTATATGTATGTATGCTTGTGTATATATATATATATAGATCTAGATATACGTAGAGATGTCTGTAACTAGAACCATGTTTACACATAGTGATGCATGTGTCTATTCATATGTGCATATATATACACACACATGTATGCATAAAATAACTTGTTTATGTTACGGATACTGTAGCTAGGAGCCATAACAAGTGGAGTAGGGCTTTCTCAAGCCCAGTCAGGGTTTAGGGTTCAAGCTGGTTTAAGGCTCCAGTCGAGGGTTTAGCGGTGTAAGGTGTGCAAGCCACCTACGCGCCCTCGTTCTTTGTAACTAGGTTTACAGAAACACAAAGTCAGACTTGCGAAGCCCAAAGAACATGCAACTATACACACAGCGAGCCGAATTGGACTTGATGGTTTAGGCGTGGGGCTCGAAGTCTCGGGTTCCGGCTGTAGTACACACAGAGAGCCCTATACCTCTGAAGTTAAGAAGAAGCTCCCTCCCATTAACTGATGCGGTTGAGTCTGGTCGGAAGCTGAAGCTGCCTTCAAGATTTGAGTCTCGTGTCTCATTCGTTTAAGTCAGCAGCTAGAGTTCGGCTAGATTCCTTGGTTCATGGCTGTTGCACTCTGTGGGTACCGGAACGTATATGCCCAACTGCTCGCTGTCTAACAGGTTTTTCTCTCGGGGCCCTGCTTAAAGACCCCAACCCGAAGCCCTGGGTTGTGTCGATGCGAAGACCTACACGAGGAAAGGCCGTAACCGACAAAGAGTTCTCCGAAATCGCAGGAATCGAAACCGAAAGTTCCGATCTTTAGCGGAACCACCGGAAGCTTTAGGCAACCACAGATTCGGGTTCCTTAAAATGGAGAAGAAGGGGCATATGAGGTTACGACAAGGGCACCATAAGGCTACTATTATAAGGTTTTAGGGTTGAAGGTCTAAGCTAAATAACAAGCTTGATGTGCTGATGTTCGAGACCCACCTTGTGAATCCACTCCATGATCTCGTCCTGGTCAAACCTTGGTGGCGCTTCCCATCGCCTGTTTTCCATGCGATGTATGCAGGTAACCAAAACGACTTCTATACGGTGGGGATGATAACGGGATACTGTTGGAAATTACTGGGTATTTGTATTGCTGCAGCATGCGTTGCAACATGCAGAACAAAGAAAACCAACAGAGTCATTCTTGCTGAAGGCATGCCTGCAACTCATAGACGAGAAGCTCTTACGAACGTTGGTTGCTGTCAGCTCCTCTTGCATCATATGTCATATGATCCAAGAACATTAAGCTTCAAGGGATGGAGGGGTGGGATCAAGGTAGGTGGGGTGATCCGCAATTAAGAGCCCTTATGTAAAGGCTCCTTAGTCCTACCTACCTTCATCCCTGATGAGGCCCCGGATACGGCTTACTGCGGCACGAACTCTCCACTGAAAACCACGAGACACGCTCCACGACTGCACACCGCAACAGCATCAGCTTCACTGCCACCAAGATACCGCTGAAGGCCATCCACGAAGACCATCAGCCGTGCCGAGGGACCCGACTCCTTTGTTTCGGGTTTAACCTTTTGTCATTTGAGATTTGGGCTCAGTCAGGGTCCGGAGCGATGGGCAGGCAAGGTGTGCCGACGGCTTCTGTTAAAATGCCAGGCATCGAAAGAATGCTGCTATGGCAATACAAACAAGTGAAAGCAATCCTACAAGGGCGAGGCTCCGAACAAAGGAGGCACTACATGCTATGCATCACAGAGCTCACGCACGATCGATACGAGTTTGGGCCAGTGTTCGGATTGACCTTCCAAGCCTCTTGGGGAGGCCTGGGTTCCCAGATAACTGCGGGTTTTTATGGGCTTAGGCTTTAGGGCTTTGTTTTTAGGGTTTAGGGTTTAGGGTTTGGAGCGTAAGTCTCCAGCTTGGAATATCACAATGTTCTGATGATGCCTGCCGTGATGGTGATGATGGTGATGTTGTAGATCGTGATGACTAGTGCCGCCATTCCTAAGACCATTCAACAATGAACCATGCGCCAGTTCTGACATCGCCAGAATGCAACTGCCAGTCTACTGCTTAGTCGCGAACCCTACTAGCTGCTGCCGCTAAAGTTAAAGGAGGCAATGCCATCATGGAAAGAAGCGCGTACCTCAGTATCAATTGCTGCTGATGATGAGGGTTTAGGGCTTATAGGGTTTAGGTTTAGGGTTTGAGGTTAATTGCTGATGGTGATGAGGGTTTAGGGTTTAGGGTTTAGGTGAAGGGTTTAAGGTTAATTGCTATTGATGCTGAGCCAAGTTGCCGAAGAGTCCAAAGTGCTGATGCTGTGCTGCAGCTCCTCCTGTGTTTCTGTCTGGTGCTTAGTAGGGAATGGGGGAATGGATCCCTATGATAGTCCCTTTGAGGTCCCTTATAGTAGTCTCTATAACCCATTCCCCCATTCCCCACTAAGCACCAGACAGGTTTGGCCAACACATTGATTCTCAGGACGTCGGGATTTGGGGGTTTCCGAAAATCGGAGACCCTACTATAGTACCCTAGATAGTAGGATCCTTATTATAAGGACCCCAAACTAAGGTACCCCCTCATTTTCGGAAACTCCCATTGTATGTTTAAGCTTCATTAGGTGATTCAGGAGGGTAGAGTTTCCGAGCCATGCACACTTCATCCTGAACTCGAAATGGTACATCCCAAAGCCCTCAACTCAAACAAAACACCGAGCCCTAAAACCCCTTCATCCTAAACCCCCCCTCCGACCTCTAAACCCTCTAAAACCTTACCAACCCCTGTAAGACCTCTAAACTTAGATCATCCCTTCAAGGAAGGAATCCTGAACAACCCGGAACTGTAGAGCTTCTAGGGTTTAGAATGCTTGCCTGGGGCCCAAAAGCCCTACCTTTTTAAGGAGCTATATAGAAGCCAGAGTAAGGAATCCCAACGAAGGTAGGTCTTTTCGGCAACAGGTAGGCGTATACATCGGGTTTAGGACGAAAAGAGGTTAGAGGGTCCAGGGGTTTAGGGTTAGGGTTTAGGGGTTTAGGGCTTTAGGGTACTATTCGGAGGGACATAGCCACCCGGTCGAAGGAAGACACCGGGAAGTCCTTAATGTAGGGCACCTCATCAAGGAAGCCACTTATATACAAGGGTTTAACTCGGGCTTAGCGCCTGCACCCAAGCTTGAGAAAAAGGGTTCATGCCTTGGTCTGAAATTCTCAACACTACCTATAGTTTCCATTGTAGTTCCTTTGTGGGGTTACTTTTTGGGATCCTTAATACAGAATTGGTTAGACCAAAAAAAGGAACTACAATGGAGACTATAGGTAGTTCCGAAACTTCTATGTTCCGTTTTCTGTGTTCTTTACTAGCCTCTCTACTTAGTACATCCCTACACATTGGGTTGCGATCTGCTTTCTGGCTGTATACCGCAAAAGCCAGGATCCCTCATCCCCGACGCCTTCGTCTCATTGTAGCAGCTTAAGACCACAACCACGTCTTCGTTGCGTTCAGGATCGTCCTGTGAGGCAGCGGCGCAAGGGGCGAAAGGGCCGAACGGCTTCTCTAGGTTCTAACACTGAAACCACTAGTCGATGCTACTATGTGTATATATACATATATATTTTTGTACATATGTACATAATTCACATACATATGTGCTGAGTGTTTGTGTGTAAAGAAGTAAATAAGTAAACAAGCCTGTTTAGATGCAGACATGTGTATATGTAGTTTTGTCTTCCTCAAAACAGACACAGTATCATATACGTTGTCTATGTAACTAACTCTCTCTGTCTATTCTAAGACTGTTTCTCAGCTTCGTACCAAGGACGTATGGTGCTGAGCCCTAAAGCGTTGCTTCGCTCGAGTCGGGGGTTCAGGGTTATGTTTATGGTGAAGCCCAGAAATCAAAAAGTCAGAACATGGATTTAGGAGGATCAGCGCTAGGATCCCTGATGTTTCACCTCAAGGTCTCAATCTCGCTCGGGATTTGCTGCTTGGTGACCTCGTTCAAAGAGACTTTGTCGTTCTCATCAAGCATCCTGTGGAGAGTGTCGAGCTTTACCTTTTCCACATGGGTAGTTGTCAAAATTATGGTCCCTTTTCGGGTACCCTAAATAATAGGTGCCGTATTATAATAAGGACCCAAAAAGGGACCATCATTTTGACAACCACCCACATGGTATGTGGCCTCTTCCACAGGAGCTGGTGGAAGAGCGGAAGAGGAAGAGGAGGCTGCGACATCCTCAACCTTCACAATATCTGGAAGCCCCCAACCTACATCCCTTGCTTTGGCATTGGGGCTGGGTACCCAAGCCACCCCGAGCCCAAATAACCGTAAAAATGTGGCAGGGTCTTATAACCCCAAAAGATTTACGAAGTTATCTACCCAGCCCCTAAGAAACGGCCCTAGACCCCACACCCTAGGCCCTGAAGCAGAATCCTCATTTGGGCACTGTGGGCCCTAAGCCATACAGGCCCAACGTACGATTTATGAGACATTTGTAAAGTAGAAGCCCCTTAATAATTAGAATAGGGCTTCGGGGTATGTTATGCTATATCTTATCATAAGGAACCGCCCCTGAAGTAGTATAGGTAACTATTCAGGCCCCTATTATAGACCAAACCTATATCCCGGCCTCAGGTTCCCGGTTTGATCTTCTAACCACCTGGGGAGCAAGACTTAGACTGTCGTTAAGTCCGGAGCCGCAGGCACGAATCTCCGTGCATACTCCTCGACAACAACCCGACACCCCAAACTCTAAAACACCGAAATCCTGAACCCAGGAAAGTCAAGACAACAGACTCGGACGCCTTGGTTGTCAACGACATGGTCGTCATCAAGTTCCGTGGGCTCTGTGGCACGTACCTGTCGGAGCACAAGAGGACTATGGATTTACAAGGCTTCATCACGTGGGCTTACAGAGTTTCACAAGGCTTTACAACTTTACAGGGCTGTTTATTACTGCAATGGGGCTTCAGGGCTTCAGGCTTTAGCAAACCTTTATAACAGGCTTGGCAGGGTTCAGGCTGGCTTTCGACATATTCTGGTTTGGCGGGTACCTAAGCCCAATGTAGGCACCTCATGAAGAAATCCTGGCCCCAGAACCCCACTATATTAGGGTTCCAAAAAAAGGCCCAGGGTTTCTTAATCAGGTTCCTACAGTAATTACTATAAGCCCTTATCCCTTAAAAGAACCTACGCCTCTTCTCTGTAGATCCGAGTAGCGTACGCGTGGCTATCCTCACGAAGGCTATGTAAATCCTAGTCACGTACCAAACGCGCCACTGCAGCAAGAGCCTATAAAAAAACAACTACAAACCATCAAAAACACATATATGAATATACATATGTACATATATATATATATATATATATGTGTGTATGTGCATTAACACATACACAATATATCTGCTACCTACTGCCGTCAAAATGATGTACCTTCACAACTCGACACATACATAGACAGATAGACAAATAGATAAATGGATAGACACATATAGATAGAAAGATACATAGATCGACAGGTATTTGCATTATATATATATATATATGTAGATACACAATAGATAGATTGGTATAGATAGAAAATAGAGGGGTGCATGGATAGATTGGCGGAGAGCAATGGGCAACCAGAACGACAGAACCTGTTCCTATATGTCCGTCGAGCAACTGCCGGTACAGCAAGAGGAGCTTTAGGATCCCCAAACAGGCCACGACCATGGCCAGATCGACAGGAGCAACTCCTGCAAAAGTTTGGTCTAAACATGGAGGGCTTAAAGTGTTGGTGCATGCGTACAAACCACACTCACATATATATATATATATACATATGTATATGTACGTACGTGTATGCGTGTATATATATATATATGTGTGTGTGTATACACGACATGTGTGTGTATATATATATATGTGTATATATATATACTATTATTCTGATGATTACGAATTTATATTTTCATTTCGGTGTCGAATGTTCTGTCTGCTTCTATCTGTAGTTCTGTGTCTATGTCTATGTATACTGCTGTTCATTCTATCATTGTATTGGCCTTTAGGCCTATATGTCTATGTCCACAAACATGTTTACACACACAAAGACTTTCAGGGAACAGTGGTGCGAATTACTCAGGCCGCTTTCGCAAGGCATGTTCATGCCTTACTTACAGTCGGTATCAACACTTACAGGACCGTGCGCACAGTGTCTCTAAGGCCTAGTAGTTTAGGGCCGAAAGGGTATATGGGAACCCAGTCAGCTGTTCGGCCCCCAGAAGTCCAAGAGCAAGAATACCAATACCAAGCCCTAAGCCCTAAACCCTAATCAGCCCGAACACCGAAGCCGAAAAGCACTAAACCCCACAAGCACCGTGTGCATGCTCCAAAAGTGGCAGATTGAGACCGTAGAAAGCACTAGGAAAGCCTTACGATAGGATGGGGGGCCTGACCACCCAGTACGGATTTTCCGAACACTACGAGTACCCTCAGGCTGGGGCTCGAAACCTCATGTTGGATTCCAAACTGCCCAGCGCTTAAACCCTCAAACCAACCAACCAACCAACCAACCAACCTATAAAGCCCAAACCCTAGCCCAAACCCTGCCCTAAACGCTAAACCCTAAACCAAACCCTCCTGAAGAAAACCCTTCCGTCTCGCTGACAGAATCCTGCACTGGCAAGAAAGCTTCAAGCATAGTTTAGGGTACTTAAGGTAATGGAGATTATTTTTCCCACCAGCCGTACCACTCTACATACGTAAATTACATGCAAACAGACAAACAGACAGGCAGCCACGCAGCAGGGCCTCGGGCAATTCTTAATTCCAAATACATAGTTTTCTAAAGTTGTATATTTTTAGGGTTTATGGCTTAGCCCGGATCGTAAGCCCGAAGCCAGTTAGGCTAAAGGGCACAGGGTGCGGCGTACCATGCTTTAGCTTTGAGGGTTCTTAGGGTTTAGGGCTTACAAGTAGTCCCAAACCCCACAAATAGTAGTAGGCTGTGACCTCATAACTGTGGAGTAAAACCAACACTGGGTTCCCCAGTTAGGGTTTAGGGTTTAGGGTTTAGGGTTTAGGGTTTAGGGTTTTCGTGTAATGTTACGATTTAATAATTAAGGAGACACCCCCAACAAGAAGGCAAAAGGGTAACTACTACAGGGCAACCTAAAACTATACAGTAGGATTTTTTTGGATCCACACGTATAAACCGATTTTTGGAACCCCACTAAACCCTAAACATTAAACCCTCAACCCTAAACTGGCCCTAAACTGAACCCCACGGCCAGGGAAACGCGGTCCTAGCCCAAACTGCCACCAACCGTCGCCTTGGTTTTTGGGTTGGGCCGGGCTTCGGGTTTCGGGTTAAGGGCTTAGGGGTTTGGGGGTTTAGGGGCTTAGGGTTTAGGGTTAAGGGCTTAGGGGCTTTGGGGCTTAGGGGTTTAGGGTGTAGGGTTAAGGGCTTAGGGGTTTAGGGGCTTGGGGGTTTAGGGTTTAGGGTAGGGCTTAGGGGCTGAGGGGCTTAGGGGTTTAGGGTTTCAAGTTAAGGGCTTAGGGGTTTAGGGGTTTAGGGTTTAGGCTGGGGTTCAGTTTTTGGTTTGGGAGTCGGGTTGAGGGTTTAGAGTTCATTTCAGGTTTTTGGGCTGCTCGAGGTGCATCCTTTGGGGATGTGGAGTACACGATTTGGGGTCGGTAAAACTTAAACCCGAAACATCCTGCCCCCCCAAAACCCTAAACCATAAACCCAAAAGCCCTAAACCGTTGACCGTGTTCGGGCTTTGGGGAGTGGGCGGATTCTTCAGCTCGTGCTGCGGACGTAGCTCGCGGCAGGACGCTCCGATGTTCTCGATCATAGAAGTGCGTACAGACATATCACAACATTCATACACGCATACGTGCATGCCTACATCCAAACCTAGAGATGTTTACCTGTATCTGAACGCATACAGACACCCACAAACACATCTAGACCAGCAGCTCCCGAAATCGTGAACCTAACAACGCCAGTGCTAAGCTGCAGCTGCAAAAGCTTGAAAGACATTAGTGAATGCGCACATAGAGCCCAAACCAAACAAGCTATAGCACTTTAACTTTCAACATTGTGCGGAGCCCTAGGAAGGTCGTGAACATTGCGCAAATCTGCCCTTCTAGAACCCGTGTTGTGAATGCCAAAACCTTGAGGACCAAATGACCCTTAAACGTAGGGGTCTTATTCCCATATACTATGAACCCATATATGGTACATGAACCTTAAACCCTTCTAGGGTTCATTTCGTCCCTAAGCGACTGAAACGCAAGTCAGGTCACAGGAGGGAAGGGTCTCGGCTGCGCTCATGAACATATTTGTCACGAGTGCCTGGAGGAGGGCGGGAAAATGTTGAGCTTGGAAGGAGGGGTTCGGTCTAGGATTCAGGCATGGTATACCCTAAGGGTCCAAGTATATGTATGAGCATGTTTTGAGCCTAAGTACCTATATAGGGACTACTGTAAGGCCTAAGTATATGCTATATGAGTACATGGACCCTTAAGGACAACTGTACGCAGGATTTAGTATTTAGTCGTAAACACGTATCAAGCACTACACCCTTAACTTCAAAATGCAAATCCTGAAACGTCATAGGGACTGTCGGACTAGAAGTTGATGACCCATATACAATAACTCTGTTCGATTGAGCTATGATATGTTATAGTACATGATCAAGAATATGTGTGTATATATATATATATATACATACATACATATATATATATATATATATACATATGCACTCACACACCCACAAAAGGGCTGCTTAGACCTGGACCATCCTGGCTGGTTGAAGATGTATCGGAAGGCTGAGTCGACTCATGCCATGCTGCTGAAGGAGCCCGGAGCCGTAATTTGTTAGGGGTTTACAGTTTGGGGTTTAGCTCGCACCACTAGATCCCCAACCACAAAAGCTTTTATCCTAAGCCCTGCCCTACATTCTAAATCCTAAGCTTTACACCCTGAAACCCTAAACCCAAACCCGAAATAATCCTGAAGCCATCGCGGGCCTGCCTGGCACGATTGAGTTGGATCGCAATGTCGGGGCAATTCAAGCCAATGGCAGGAAAAATAGCTGCAGCAGAACAAAATGTGGAAATGGCGAGTCTTCCCAGGAAAGCCTCTTTTCTTAGGGTCTTAGGGTTCAAGGGTTGGGGGTTTTACGGTTTATAGTTTCTAGACGGTTTCAGGGTTTAGAGTGTAGAAATTACGGACTAGGATGGTATTGCATGTTGTTCCTTACATGTAATGCTGAGAACCCTTGAGAACAGGGGTTTGGGGCTGCTTTCTGAAGCATCGGACGTCGAAGTCATACCTGCTGTTGTGATGCAGGAAGCGACGATCTAGACATTGAGCTTCACATAATGGCTAACCCCTAATGCAAAACGTAGAAGTCCCTTCCCGAGCTACCTCAAGCAGAGACATGTACTGCAAATTGCTAGCATGCCGAAACTTTCATCGCATAAATTTAGTCCGAAGCGCAGAACGACATCATCCCGGTAATTGTCATTCTGCCTTGTTGACGTACTGTGAGGACCCACCTACATTTTGAAAAGCATGAAACCCAACTAGTATCGTCTAACCGCATGGACAAAAAACAACAGAAACCACCCAGAAAATAGACCAGTGGACCCGCCGCCAAACTCGGAGTCTTTACCATTTACCATGACTCCGGCAAGGAACCGTCAAAGAAACCCTTAAAGGAACCCTGAGAGAGGAACCCCAAAGGAGCAGATACAGAGACCGATATAGAACCCCTAAAGGCTCACCTAAACCCTAAACCCTAAACCCTAAACCCTAAACCCTTAACCCTAAATCTCAAAGGTGCAGAGAACCAAATCTGAGCTCCTGCAACACAGAAACACACAAGGAACCCCTGAACTGAAAGAACCCCTAAGGGAGACTCTTTTAGAGACCTCAAAGGCCCACCCTAGGGTTTAGGGTTTAGGGTTTAGGGTTTAGGGTTTAGAATCTAAAAGGCCCTTGAAGGAAGGGAGCCCTTCAAGCTCTTGAGCAAGTCCTGGAAAGTGCAAAGAACTCGAATGACGAAGGGGCTGGTGATACCTCGGCACTAGGGTTTCCTCAAGGATTGTTTTTGGATGTACAGGCTTTAGGGTTGAGGGTTCAGGGCGCTGGAAGGTGATACGGGTGATGATGTAAATCCGGCATTACCCATAATCAGGAATACACCATAATTCCCATAGCTTAGGGTCCTTATTCCCATAGTTTAGGGTCCTTAAGGTATTGCCCTAAACCCTAAACCCAAACCATGATTCCCATAGTTTAGGGTCCTTAAGGTACTGCTGGATACCACTAGCAGTAGTGATAGGATCCTGATGCGGTTCTAGAAGTGCCTGGGGTGCAGGCTACGCGTTTGGGGTGTGCTGCTTTGGGCCCTGAGATGCTTCAGTCTTGCCCAGAGAGCCTTTGGGGTTTAGGGCTCTAGGGTTTTAGGGTTTAGGGTTTGGGGTTTTAGGGTTTAGGGTTTAGGGTTTTTGGGCTTTTGGGTTTAGGGTTTAGGGTTCAGGGTTTCGGGCAACAGGAACACGGCTGAAAATTAGGCCTGACATAGATGGGGCTTCTACGTATGGGCGTACGGTTCAATAATTAAGGCTCTCTGGGTACTGGTCAAGAAACCCACTGTAGTCTCTTTATCAACGGCTTCGGGAACGACCTTTCAGCTCCTTCTCAAAAGTCGTATTGCAGATGATTACAGCGACCTCATATCAACTAAACCCTAAACTCCTAAACCCTACAGGGACCTTTCTTCGATCCATACCAGACTAGAGCATCTGTCAGCGGCCCAGACCAGAAACCGATCCGTCACCTTGCTGGATCAACCCGAAGGCCTTTTCATGCTACCGGCTTAAGTCGTGACATCATCCATACTTCATTGTAGTTCCCTTTTTGTGGTTTCCTTATAGGATCCAGTATACGAAATGGGTTAAACATAGTTAAACCAAAAAGGGAACTACAATTGAGACTACAGGTACGTAGGCTCCCGGGCTGGTCAGCACGTTCTTCTCGTTGATGACATGCTCAGCCTTCCAAACAAGCTATGCATCCGCAGTTCGTTTAGGGTTCAGGACCCTAAACCCCTAAACCCTAAACCCTAAACCCTAAACCCTAAACCCTAAACCCTAAGACATAGGGGACCCCAGTCCGAAAACCCAAACACTAAATCCCAAACGCCACAACCGGAATGCTACACTGAGGACTCTGGCTGCAAAGCGCAATGTAGGATGCCTGCTCCAGCTTGACCACTTCTGTCTTCTTCAAGACCTGCACAAAATTTGAGAATTGCCAGGTTCATGTTACAATACGTGTTATACATTATAACATATTGTGTATGGCATGTTATACATGACAAGAAATGCCGTCTTGCGTTATAACACTTGTTACATGTTACAATTATACATTGTACAACATACATCCGGTGGTTGTGAGGCTCTAACTACAAGAAGGTTATGAAGTCATGAAGCTGTATCTATACATGTGTATGCACACACACACACACATATATATATATATATACATACATACATAAATGTATCGTACATATAAAAATAATACATGCTGGCATACCTACATATATATATACACATTATGTGTATATATATATATATACATACATACACACCATTATACATCACACTCACATCACACAACTCTCAGGGCCTGACTGAACCTTGAAGTCATAAGTGCAAGGTGTGTCTGCTAAGGAGTTCCTAGAGGGTCTAGGGGTTTAGGATTCAGGGTTTAAGGTTCCTATAAAGGTTCCTCTAGGATTCGGGTTTAGAACTTTCGGGCAGGGTTAAAGCCTAAGGGTGCAGGTGTGGTGTTTAGGAATATGAGGTGTCAAAGATACAAGACCTTCACGACCGTATCAGATCTTCTCAAGATCGGCAGCTCAAGACCAATACGCCAAGAGCCAAGAGACACATCCAAAGACGGTCAGTTCAGACCAAAAAAGCTGCTGTCAAACCGCCTGCCCTAGCATGGCCTGAACTGTCTACGACCTCCCAAAGCCTTAAACTCTGTAAACCGTGGCCGGCCAGATATACGACGGTATGTGCCATAAACATGCGCGTGCACATCTCCCCAAAGCCCAGTGCCTTGAGGCAAATAGGCAGTTCCTGCTGCAAGTGAGGATACCCAGAAGCAACACTATACCCCAAAAGCGATATCAAACAGCTCTGGTATTTTCCCTTAGTTTCGGGCTGCACCCTTCGAAGTTTTATGCTGCTTCTCACCTGTTGCCCTCATGTGCTGAACTGTGGTTGTGGACTACTGAGTTACATGAAACAGTGACCCTCTTGGGGAAACGGTGTAGAACAACATTAGCCTGATTCTTCTACTACATGCACCAGGATGGTAGCAATTACTTGCAATGCCAGCAAAACGAATGCGTCACTGAACGGTAGCCGGATACCCTGAGTCATACACTATCAGCGCGAAACTATGTACCTACGAGGTACTTGGACTTTTCGAGAAGGTGAGAGTTTTCATGGACTGGCGTTAGCCCTTGCTTACATCCCAGAGGCAGTTCGGGCTAGAAGCGTCTCGCAGAATACTACAGCCAGAACCCGTAACCTTCAAATGGCAACAGATCACGAGGAAAGCCGTAAGCCATGAGTTTGCTTCTAGTACCTATTGATATTACTCATGGCTTGTTGCAGTGATTGATTCCTGCTGTCTAGATAGCACTGTTGTCCATACAGTGGCATGCTACCTACGTGCATACATGAATGCACACATGCTTCCATACATGCTGCACGCATCACCCTATGCATTCATAGTCATAGTCCATGAACCCACCTGAAAATGTACCTGAAGTGTGTAGGATGCCCGGAAAGGAAATTCTGAAAGCCAACTGCAGCCAGCAGGAGAGGCACTATCTTGTTCACATCACCATCGATGTCATAACCATCACCACCAATGTCATGACCATCGTCATCGTCACCAATGACCACGACCGTTAGTTGGAGTCAATCACGTGGCAGCAGCAGTAACAAAACGAGCAAAGGTAACAGCGCCTTCATTCTTTCTGACTAGATCAGGCATCAGCGGCTACACTGGGTTGTTCGTGCTGAGGCTGAGAGGCTCATGCTGCTTCTCCGAGAACAGCAGCTACGTCGATGATGATAACTCACCACTGCAAGTGCAACTGCTGCTGCTGCTGCTGCTGCTGCTGCTGCCGCCACTGCTACGTCTCCACTACGGTGACGACGACGACCACTGCTAGTGTTGCTTGATGCATCTACGACTACGGCGATGTCGCCGCCAGCAACGACGACTACCACGAGAAGATAACGACGACAACAAAAACAGAGCGAGCACAGCTACGCCGAGATGATAGCAGTAGAAGTCGTAGCAGCAGCAGAAGGAGTAGTAGTAGTAGTAGTAGTAGCAGCAGTAGTAGTAGGAGTAGGAGTAGGAGTAGAAATATTAGTAGTAGTAGTAGTAGTAGTAGTAGTAGTAGCAGTAGTAGTAGTAGTAGT